TCCCACAAAAATCCTACTATCCCATCAATTGCCCTTCAAAACCACCTTTATGATCTTCAAAACTGGTTCGGAAAATTAAAATTAACAGTAGTAAATCCACCCACGTGACTTTCTCTCTTAGAAAAGCATCAAGTCCACCCATAATCACTGACAAGAACCCAGTGCCTTCAAAAAACTATGTACGGTACCTCGGACTCAACTTAGACAAAAGACTTACCGGTAACATACATACTAAATTAAAAGACAAGAACTGACTAGACGATACAACCAACTCACACATCTTCTGGACTATAGATGCTCGCTTAACTTATGAAACAAGCTACTGATCTACAACACTATACTGAGACCAATTTGGACATACGTAGCCGAACTTTGGGGTTCGGCAAAACAAACACACATAAATAAAATACAAACAACACAATCGAAAATTCTACGAAAAATTGTCAACGCACCTTAGTTCATTTCGAATAACACTATACACAACGACTTACACATTCCAACAGTAACTCTTACATCCACAACGAATACAGTTCATTTCATTCTTCAATTCTAAATCACATCAATCCATTAATCTTTCTATTTCCTGCTCCCTGTTACCTGATAGTCGCAGGCTGAAAAGAAACTGGCCCAGGGACCTACTTCTACATTAATAACAAGGGGAAAAATAAATAACAACCAAGCAAATTCGCAACAAATGGCTCATACATCAGATTTGCTAGATGCGCTGCAGCTCAGGTGCAAATTTCATAAAATGTTAAAATAAATAAATAAAATTGGTTTAGCAAAGAGTTTCATCAAGTTTTTACTATCAGTTACTAGCTGAATATTTTGATGATTCCTCATATTTTTCATTGTCTTACCGAAAACTGCGTTGTTTAGTAACTTATAAAAATCCTTTTCAAAGTCGTCGGAGACTCATTTTCTCAACTCTGTATTGTATTCCTATATACGAGCGGAGCCATGACGATTGTTTAAACTTTAATGCACGGTGAATTTTATCTAATTTTAATCCATGTTTTACGGCTTGTATCAAGTTTTTATAATGTTGAACGTAGCGTGTTCTTTTCCCGAAATGTGTTATTAATTTGTTTGAATTACAATTGGCTTTATGTGGTACAATTTTTTCAGGTAGGAAGGACAAATCATTATGAATATGATGCAGTTCTTGAGGATAGCTAATATCCTCTCCCAGGTATCTTCTGCAAAGGTGTTTCTTCTTTCTCATCTCTTCCTTCAAAACCTGCGCCCACCATCTTGTCTTTTTCCCCCTGCCACTGCCGCACATCACCTTTCCACAAACTACTTCTGCTGCACTCAGGATCACTGCCTTAAAATTCGCCCATGCTTCTTCCAACTCATCAGTATGTTTTCCCGAGCCCAGGCATTGTCTTCCTTTTTAGCAAATTCTTGCTGGACATCTTTATATCTCAGTTGGAATACCTTAATTTTCTCCTTGATATTCTTCTCTGTTCTGTGACCTTTACTTCATTTCTTTTGTTTGGGAACACTCATGTTTACTACAATAAGATAGTGGTCACTTCCGATTTCTGGGCCTCTTTTCACTCTCACCCTGGGGAGTAATTTTCTTTCCTCTATTAGTCAATAATGGACTTTTCATGTCTAGATGGCTCCTCCCTGGTATATTTATGTATTTCTTTGTGAGAAAACTTTGTGTTGAGCATAACAAGGTTATTGGCGACGCAGTTTTGTAACAGTCTCTTTCCATTTTTGTTCCTGACCTCTTCTCGGTATGGGCCCAGCACTCTTTCGAAACCAATTTGACATTTACCCACTCTTCCAGTCAAGTCTCACATCAGCATTAGATTTCCTTCTTCATCGTCCATTGCTTTCTGCAGCGTTTCGAAGAACATATCTTTCACCTCCGTAAGTTCATCCTCATTTGGTCCGTATGCTGCTATTAATGTCCAATTTTCCTTGATTTCCTGACCTCTTAATTTCAAAATCAATATCCCCTCATTAATGCTCCTTTAGCCCACAATATTTCTTGTGAAGTCCCTACGAATAAGAAATGCTACTCCTGCTTTAGGTCTCTCGTTGGTTGCTACTCCAGAGTAAATCAGCACAAACCAATACCAATGTCTATGCAGGTTGTTCCCTTCTTCTTTTTTTCGGTGATCGCCATTATCTTCGGTGAGATCCTCTCTATTTCTTCCTAGCTAGACTCCTTATGTTCCATCTTGCATATTTTGTTGTTCTGTGATCTCGCCAAGTCATAGCCATGAAAGACAATCCGGTTTTGTTCCTTTTAATCATATTCATTTGGGGATGTGAGAGATTGGCCCACAATCCCTTCTTGCAGTGGAGGGACTGCCTTCTTCAGGCAGCTACACCTATCTTGTGGCTTCTGAGTTTTAAACAGGATTGTTAACTCGTACTTCCTGAAAGTATGTGCTTGTCTAAAGGTTGTCAAGCTGTTGGAAGGTTTTCCTGATTTTGGAAATAGCATAATTGTGAAATGTGTAAATCTAAATGAGGAATTTGACAGCTTTAGGAGGGAGTTTTCCAAGGATCTGAGAAGTTATATCCAGAAGGTTTGCAGGGAGATAGTTTTTGTGATATTTGGTAAAATGCTTTAGGGGGTAAGGGTGGTGAGATAGGTGAAGTAATAATTTCATCTACTGTTGAGGAATGGGTGAGCCTGGATTCTGACTGAGAGGTGAATGTACAGGAAAGAAAGGTGTTTGGTAAATTCCTTGGCTGTCTTCAAAGGAGGCTACCCAAGATCACCTAGACAGAGATGTGAAATGCGTTTTTAGGATTTTTTCAGTGATCTTCCATTGAGAATTGCCATGAACAGAGAGGGAAGTAAGGTGGGAGTTGAAGGTGACTAATTCCTGCTTTAATTGTTTACAGTAATAATTATAATAGCGGCGATCAGTGGGCTGTCTAATAATCACCATAATGATCTGGCATGGCATAGGTCTATGTGTTGAGGTAGATTATTTTTCCTAGGGATTCTTAAGAAATGATTTAGGGAGGAAACTATCCAGATTGCTTGTTGAACAGTGGTTTCCAGTAAACTGGGCCTCTGTTGGTGGAGAGTTCAGGAATAGGAGCTAAAGATAATTGGAGTATTAATAGACTATAATCAGAGGAAAGTTCATCAAGACTGAAGGGGATGATGAAGAGAATTCTTCCTTGTGTCATTGTCTTCTCCAGTTGCTGAATTACAAAAATCTGGTCATTACAGGCCTGCCCAATTCTAAATCTAGCTTATTCTTTGGGAATTATTTGTGCACATTATTCTTCCAGCTTCCTTTAATTACCCTGCCCTATAACCTAATCATGCTGCTGGTTACTGTTATTCCATGATAGTTCAAACAGACCTGAAGAGGCCTTTTCAAAATAATTTTGTAGAATTTAATTGCTTTAATTCAATTTGTTTTTATTGTTTGCAGTCAACATTTGAAAATATGCAGAAAAAAATAAAATAAAAAATAAATATGGCTTCACAGTGTCAACAGATTTTTAAAGTGGCATCTATAAAATCTACAATGCTTACATATCAGTTTTTAATTTTAAATATAACTATCACCACTGTATTGATTTACTTTTATAAAAATTGGTGAACCAAGAATGCTGTTAGAATAAAGAAGGATAAGGGGTACAGGAAAGCAACAATGTCAACCAATACTCAGGTATTTTTTTTTTCAAGAGGAGAAACTGTTTGAGAAATGAATGTTTCATTGCTCTTCATGGACATTTCCAAAATCTTGAAATTGATTTGGTAATGAGGATAAAGAAATAATCTATCATGGTTTTCTACTTCAACATTCAAATATATAACTACTGAAACAATACTAGTTATATTTTGATGAAAGAAAATACTTCTGATGTTAAATATCATCCTTTAGGTATCATTTTAATAGAGTTGAATCTGGTTTTCATTTTGAACCCTGAAGCACTACTATGCAACAAAGCAATTGTTTAGAAAGAATGTAAAACTGTTTTAACAAAAATGATAAACAAGCCAAAACCATTTGTTCATATCTTCAATAAAACTCGTTATCAGTTAGTGTTCGACACTAGTTAATTTCTTTTTCACCTCTCTAACACAGCATCGCGTTAAGGTACAATTTTGAATAATAGCTCATTACAAAGAGTATGAAATACTGAACTTTTTCCTAGCTTGCAGTATGCAAATCTGATAATTAGTTTTTGAAACATTTTAACTAGTTGACTCACAAGACACGTCTACGTCTATGGATTAAAATATCTCAGAAACTAAAATGTTCAGTATTTCTTCCTCTCTGTAATGAGCTATTATTCAAAATTGTATCTTAACGTGATGTTGTGTTAGAGAGGTGAAAAGGGAAAACATATTGTAAAAACCAAGTGATAAAAAGTTTTATTGAAGATATGGATTAAAATATCTCGGAAACTAAAATTCGGACCTGCATATTGCAGGCACAGGAACTGTTCAGCATTTTATTCTCTTTCTAATGACCTATTATTCAAAATTGTATCTTAACGCTACAAAGAGATAATTTGCTTAAAATGGACCAAAATTTTGAACTTTTTAATGGATTCAAATGCCTCAAAAATCTTAAATCGACCTGTCTGAGTAGGTATAAAAGCATTTTTGTAATAACTAAAAGGAGCACTATCAGTCTGTTAGGTCAAAATTTATTTTAAATTATAAGGCCTTTTCGGCTCTCGCTCCAGATCTAAAATATAACAATTTATAAAATAAGAAAAAAATTATTTAAATTCATTTTTTCTAACGGTAATAACTGGTTTCTACTATGACCATAACTTCTTATATATCATGTCCATAACTAGAATATATGTAGCTTAAGTAAATAATTATAATAGTAACAAAAGAAGAGATTATGAATTGAAATATGTAACCAAAATCTCATTTGCCAAATTGTAGGCAGTACCCCCTTCCCCTTTCAATTTCCTTAACTATGACCATAACCCATGATCAACCCAACAAACTAACACATAAATAAAAATAAAAAAATTATGACAAGGAGTACACAAAGTTTTAACATTTATTTTGTAATTACAAGACTTTACAATTAAGTAACATAAAATAAAGTTGAAAGCTATCATTTTTTTTGTTTCTTTTTCTCAGCTTCTTCTTCCTTCTCTTTTTCAACCTGGGTTACATATTTATCTATCGTGTCTAAATCTAACATCTGAAAAAATAAAATAATAAATAGTGAGAATGGTTTATGCTAAATAATGGTTGACATTACATTTTTTATGAATATATCTAACTATTCATATTTATTTTTCAGTTGTTCTTTGAATACTGCTCAAAAATGAATAGGGATATTGTTAGTTATATATAATTTATTTCTTTTTCAATTTGTACTATAAAATAAATCAAAAATCAATACAAAAGAGATTGTATCTGACCTCGAGAAGTTTTATAAAAGGTGTTTTAAAAAAGTGAGAAATATAGTCCTCTTTGATTTCTTGTGAGAAATATGAAAGTGAGAAATATAGTCCTCTTTGATTTCTTCAACATACTAACTTGATCTGACCGATAATCTGAGTGAGGTTCATAATATTATCATGGAATGAGCTTCGACAATAATACTGTGAACGATTACTGGAATGAAAATGAGAAAAGTTTGAAAAAAACTGTTGCTTTACATAATGAGTATACTTTATGTTGGCTATCCTTTAGTTAAACCAGTACCACTACAATCCATGAAGAGTCTCGGGTGTGGTACTATGTGAGGAAGTACTGTTTCAAGGCCAACGGTTGTGCTGGGAGGTGATGGGGCCGATATCACCAGTCAGGTTTTCCTCCTTAATTATTTTTTATGATTAAGAGTACCCACTTTATAGAGGCTGGGTGTGCCCCAATCTCAGGGTCGATCCACGGCTAATGAAAAATTACTAGTCATTAGCCGGATTCGAACCCAGGACCTTGAGCTCTGGAAGTCAGTGCTCTCCCATTGAGCTACCCTGCTCTCCCTTTAGTTAATAATTGATTAAAAATCAAGAATAATTGTTTACTTTTTATTTTTACCAATAAATAAGAGAATTCCTAACAAACCAGAGTAGGGTATTTTAATTAAAACGAATCAAATAGAAATATCCCTATTCATTTTTATGTAGTATAGTTTGGAGCTAAAGTATGCCTCTTTTATTTCCCTTCTTCAGATTATAGCCCTGATAATGATCAACATTATGAATGAATAAAGTAAAAAATAAGAAAATACACCTACAGCTCATTAAGGCTATAATTGTATTTAAATCTAGAAAAAATAATAATTAAAATTAATCAAGTAAAAAAACAGTTTAATAAATCACATTGTTTAAAAAAACTAATATAACCTCAGATTAACATATGATTACTGCCTAACTCAATTACAGCCATTATATTAACAAAAATATGGTACGGTGCATGCATCACACAGCTTTCACTTACCGCCCTCTTCTTAGTAGAAATAAGTATTTTCAGACAAAGAGGAAGGGAAAGTAAAAATTATAGATGCTATATTTATTTGTTTAAGTACCCTTATATATACAAATTTTAATATTTATATCACTGTAATCTATATAATTAAATATTAAATAATAACAATGAAAACCGGATATGTATATGTACATAATATTGTTGGAGCCCATATTATATTAAGCTCATGTTACATATGGAAGCTTGTTCTAATCTGCCGGGCGAGCTTGTATTCCTTAGGTTCCTCTATTACAACTATTCCCCGTTACGATCTCTTATTTCTCTTTTAGTTAATAATCAAATTATTTCATATTTTTTATATCAGAGATCAATGTGAAATGGTTAATTGTTTTAAATAAAAAAAATAAAGGTACTTCAGGGGAAGCTAATATTAAAAATTAGCCCTTTAAGACCTGTTAGAGAACATTAATGATAATAAAATCTATGCTTACCTCTTCACTAGTCCAAACAATTTCCTAAAGTCAAAAAGTTCCCCCCATTTCCTTCTGTACCCCTCGTTTTGGGCATTCATTGACTGAACCTGAGAGAGCTAAAGCTGTGTAAAACTTTTCCCGGCAACCATATAAAATCAAGTTTACATGACAAAATAATTACGAGTTCTCATCCTGGTGGCGGAGGAGTTTCAAACTTCCCCCCTTCCACCCAGGAAAAGCTTTGTATAGCTTCAATGGGGTTGAAGGGGTGGACCCAAATAAAAAAATTAAAAACTGAGACGTTTCAGGTTTGTACATGCTCTTATAATAGTCCGGGAGCCCGTGGCAAAAAAGGTGTCATATTTCATACTAAGCTTTGTCCTTATTAAATTGATCATATCAAAAGGCCAAATGAGAAAAAGTTTTTCTGTATAGTTTCAAAGTTTAATCATTAAGTTGTAATTGCTTTAGCCTTTGAACGGTTGAAGATAAGATAGTAAAATAATATATATTATTAAAGAAAATTTAATATTAAACAACTTTCTTCCACACGGCTTTTTTGTAAAATGAAAAGATTAAGAGTTGGTGAGTCAAATAATGATAAAATTGAGATGAAAATTTTTTTCTTCTCGAAATTAGTGAATTACAAGGATGAATGTCATGGAAACTATAGAATATAGCGAATAAACTAATATAAGCACTTCTATTGCAAATAATATAAATTGAAAGTGTTGGTAGCTTTCTATATCTATACACTCTCTCTATATACATGCTTGCAATCTATGTAAGGTCTCTTCTATCAATCATCACATGGATGCCATTTTGTATTCCAGTGGCTATATGCTGGCAGACGTGCATTTTTCTTATCAGGCCTGTGGGTATGGTTAATTTATAAGGACAAACCTTAGTATAAAATATGACACCTTTTTTGTCATGGGCTCCAGGACTATAAGGAGCACCAATGCTTGGTCAAATCGAATTTTTGAACAATAATACTAATCGACAATTGGATATCACTAAACTAAATTTCTGGTTGCTGCAAATTCAAAACTGAATAGATAAAAAAAAAAAAAAAAACATAAACAACCCCCATTGGCATCATAGCCTACATTGGATGTATCATTTCCCGAGACTTTTGCTGTCTCGACCGAGGTCATGATTTTTCAATTGTAATTTAACATTAATAATTAATGTGTGAAATAAAGATAGTAATTAATGATTTGGAGTTTCAATTTATTTATCTCTCGATAAATTAATGGGAGAACGTACAAAACTGTTAATTAAACTATTAATTAGTATCTACCGCTCTCAAACTAAGTGCTTTTTATATTTTCAATGCTTTATTTTCGACTATTTTATAACAGAACTAGAATGTATAAACAAATTACATATCTTTTATATATTCTGTTGGTATGAGACTTCAATATACATAACAATCATACGCATTAAGGACCAAAATGCGTTTTAAAGTGCGAGCGGTCCAACAACATTTCGCTTACTTGCATATTACAACTTTACATAAGCATGAATTATGTGTGAAGCTGCCAACGTTCTTCTGTTAACCAAGGAATAGATGTATACTAACAGATAGTAAATAGTATTGATTTATTTTTATTTTTTAAAAAGCACTGTTTTAACTTCATTTTGTTCATTAGCCTTGTTTAATTCCAATTAGGCACTGGCCGTTATTGACAGTGACAAGTGGATAGATATATGTTATACAACAAAATAAATATAAATATGTTCGGGTCGTCTATAACAATTATACATTATAACAACGAAATTTACCAGGTCTCTTAAGGTCGTTATAAACGACATCCACTGTATATTAATTCCAATTTAAAAAGCATATTTTCGAACTAAAAAAATTCCCTGACTTCTCCCGATTTGAGAATTTTCCTGGCTTTTCCAGGTCGGTCGCCACCCTGTTATTAATTGGCCATTGCATATAAAACAATGATGAAATTTGTCTATTAAATAATTGCAGCTATCAGGAATTCATTACCACAAGAGGCTGTCCTCTTCTCATAACAGCAATCTCAAGATTTTTATTCCCAGACTGAACCACCTCTAGCAGAGCTTTAACAGCAAATCTTACAACTTCTTCTTCGGTACTCATATCAGCAGTTTCATAATTTTTTTCTAAAAATTCTCTGACTGTTTTAGCACCTCGACCTGTAGCATTAGCCTGAAATTAAAAAAAAAAATGTATACATTAAATCATGAATAGTTGATATTAAAAAAGTTTCTACTTTTCTAAAACCATGTATTTTTAATAAATTACTACTAACACTACAGCAAAACTATACAACTAACTTATGATTCCAATATTAATTAAAATCCTGGTAATAAAATCAAAATTTTTATATTTACATATTTGGGAGACCAGAAAGTAATGTTGTTCCCTTACATTAAATTCAAACACATAAATTTCATACGAGTTTTTATTTTTAATCGTTGATCGAATCACCTTCATTATCAATAACCTTTTCCCTTCTAGAATGAAAATTTACAATACAGGATCGATAACAATCAATTGGTTTTTGAGCAAAATACATAGAGATGACATTCAAATTTGCAAATCTTTTGCCACTTTGAAAGTGTTGAAATGATCCAAACAAATGGAAATCTGATGGTGCAACATCGGGTGAGTATGATGGACGAGGCAGTACCTCCCACCACAATTCATTAATTTTTTGCCGAGCTTGATCTTGCATTTTGCTGCAGAATGACACCTTTTATTTATGTTGAAAATCGGAAAATTTTTATGTAAAGATCGATTGATCTAATTGTTCACATTAAAGGTCTACATTAACAGTTTGCAGTTTGTCCAGGTTTCAGCACTTCAAAATGAGCAACACCGAGAATATTCCACTCCACCAAACACACAAGAGGGTTTTTTGGGGTGTAAACCTGGCTTAGCAGTACTTCGGAGTGATTTACTTGGAGAGGGACACTGTTGAATCATCGTACAGGACCCATTTTTATCTCTGTTGATCAAGTAATCAAAAAACACTTCTGTATCGTAAAAGACACTTCTTGGATAGTCAGCCAAGACTGTTTAACAATTCCTTGATTGTTTGATACGGATTTGCTTCGACTTCCACCCTTAAAACATCATTGCCTAATGTTGTTGATCTTCCTGATCAATACGAGACGGAAAGATCAAAATTACTAGATTTGAACTTGAAAAAACATATTTGGCATTTATGAAAGTCTAATGCATTTGTATTAAAATCGCAAATGTTTTTGGTAGAAAATGTTGCGTTACTACCCTTGTGAAATTCAGAAAGCATACAATGTCGGATATGTACCTCTTCAAGTATTTGGCTGGTCATTTCACCAAAAATTGCAAAAAATAAAAATTTTAATATAATTATTTGCAACTAAAGAAGTCACTATAACCATAGAATGTCTTAGCCACAACATAAATGTACACAATGTGCTGCCAAATAACAGTACAATAGTGACATGCTCAGAAACGACATTACTTTTCGTACATCCGATCAAACCCTCTCCTGGAAACCACACATCTCCCAAATTTCCCGTCGTACTATCTCTACCCTGAAACAGTTTAACTGTCAACTCCAGGTTTCCTCCTTTGTGTTCTCCCACTTCGACTATGGCTGTCTGGTGTACGGCGGACACTCGGGAGAATTCGAGGCCAAACTTAAACGCCTAATGAACTGCGCAATACGTTTTGTTTTCGGAATCTCAAGAGATACGCATATAACCCAGTATTACACCAAGTTGAAGTGGCTCTATCCATCCAACCGCCGTTTGTACTTCCTTGCCACTTTTCTATAACAAGTCATCAGAACTCAGCGGCCTTCCTATATTTTTCACAACCTACAATTCAAATATTCCATTCAATCCCGTCTCACTAGATCTTGTACCTCCGACCTCTATCCACCTCCCCCCCCAACTGCAGCGTTTGACAAATCCTTTATAATTCAAGCCGTCTCCTTCTGGAATACCATCCCTCCTGATACCTGACATGTACAATCAGTTTCCTCATTTAAATCTCTCCTTTTTAACCACCTACCCCTTTCCCAACCCGATTGATCAGGAAATGTAGATAAGAGAACTTTTAAAGTTCCCCCAGAAATGATTTTTTTTTACTTATGCTATTTTATTTTATTATATAGTTTGTATTATACATATCAGAATGTTTTTAGTGTGATAGTTATATTTTTTGTTTTATTATTTTTTTAAAATCTTAATCTTAATAATAAATGTAAATAATTAATTTTATGTATGGCCACACAGGCATTTATTCTGTATCTGTAATTTGTCCTAAAGGGACAACAGTCCCAGCATAATAAAAAAAATATTTTCATTTCATTTCATTTTCATTACTTTTCGGTCCCACAAATACAACACATCATATCATAATAATAATTACATGCTTGTGGATGGTAGAAATCCAAGTAATAAGAAATATATTTTAATGGATAAACTTTATGTGTGTGTGTAGTATTTTCAATTGAATAGGATTTAGTTAAATTAAAAAGGGATGGCTTCACCAACAAAACAAGTGACAGCTAAAATGTTGTGAAAACACAAATTTTCAGTAGATTTCTGATCTCATCATGGTTGCTCATTTGCCGGTATTATTTATAAAAATAATGAATTTAAAATCAGGGGTGGAAAAAGTTCATACCAAATGATGCAACTGAAACAAAACATGATTTTTAAAAAGAAAGATTTCTATCAAGCGGGAACATGATGTTATCTTGGAGGGGATTTACTGGAAACAGTGAAGAAATAAGGACATCCTATATCTTGTCCTTTTTTTTGTGCTCAACTAATAAAACATTTCATTATTTAAAATCTACATATTTGGAAATAAACTAAGTAACACATGCCCACTCTAATTTTGCTCCAAAATGAAGAGAAAGATGATACTAAAACACACAATTAACTTATTTTAAGAATGATCAGAGATAGAAATAATATTGTATCCTAGGATAAGTGTTAAATCCAATTCTTTGACAAATGATCAGTGTAACTAGTAGTCCTGGAGCCCAATACATAAGCTTAGTTTATTCACTAAAAAGTCCTCTTTAACAATGACAAACAATTCTTTTTAAATACATTTTGTCTAGTTTACTGCGAAGCAATTGTTAATTACTTAAATTAAGTATTTTTAAGTTATTTTCTGATTATTGATTATATATTATTGCTATTTTCTGATCTGATCAGATATTAATCTAATTTACAACCAGTTCATGAGAGTAGAGAAGTGTCAAGTCAAGGCATCCATTTTTGAGACTAATACTTAATTTTAAATAAAATATTTTTACACTAAATGCTAAAAAATTATTTAAATTTACTTGTTACCTGGAAACAATTATGTAAGATAAAGTATCTTCAATTGACAAAATGATATAATAATAATACAATATTGTTATTAGTGCTACAATGGAACCAGTGGTTTACTTTTTCAAAATAAATTTTAAAAAATTTAATTAAATTAAGTATAGGAGAATATATACTATTATTCTATGAAACTCGAGTATAGAATTTTAAATAAAACATACCTTCCATTCATAATATATACCAGATGGTTCTGTCTGATATAGGTGAGGAGATCCATCCAGATCAAACCCACCAATTAAACAAGAGATCCCAAAGGGTCTTCTGCCATTACTTTGAGTGTATTTTTGTTTCATTCCTTAATTTAAAAAATAAATAAATACAAAATGAAACTAGTTACAATATAAAACAATTATAAAACATAAGTATGATAAAATATTGTAGAAAAAATTTTGTATGATATTAATGTGAGATCAGATAAAAATTATTTTTGAGGGAAGGTGTATGATTAAGAGTGAATATTACATACACACTCTTTTTTCAGTCGTTTTAATTTCCACCTTGTGGCCCAATCAGCAATATCGTTAAGATGGTTTTGAAGAGTGGTGGATACTCGAACAGGGTTTTTATCTGGAAAGGTTTTACTAAGATCTCCCTAGGTATGATGGTAAGATTATAATTGGAGACTTAAATGCTAATATAACATATAAGAAAAAGAGCCTTTCGACCCACCATTAGTACACAAACCAAGCATGATCAATGTAATGACAATGGTATCCGAATAGTCAGTTCTGTAGAAGAAAAAGGACTAGGAATTATGAGCGGTTTTAGACCAGGTTGGTCTACCATTGATCATATATTCTTAATAAGAAAAATGCTGGGGAAATCAAATGAGTATATTGTAACTCTCGATCTGAAGGGACTAGGTTTAGACGGCGAATGGTGGAGGGAGATGTGTAATGAGTGATTGGTGGTGTCGGCATCAAACCTTCGGGTTCGCTAAGCCTTTTATTATTATTATTATTATTGTAACTCTACACCATATATTTATCGATTTCTAACAGACCTAAGATACTATTGACAGGAAGAATATGTACAAATGCATGCATTCTTTAGGGATCACCAGAAAACTTATTCCGCTTATTCGCATGACTCTAAAGAATATATCTTGTTAGGTCAAGATCGGACAGATATGTTCTAAAGGTTTTAAGATAGAGAAAGGATTGCATCAAGGTGACCCACTGTCAGTTTGGCTTTTTAACTTCGTATTAGAGTCCGCAATTCGTAAAATAAGAACAAATCCAGGTGGTACCACTTTCAACAGACTGATACATCTGGTTTTTGCGGATGACATGGTAATCTCAGCAACACTTCAAGCTTTATCAGGTGCAATGGAGGAGTTCCTGAGAGCTGCAAAGGAACTTGGGTTTGAGATTTATGTCCAGAAGACAATGTATATGCAGACAGTAAAAAGTTATGGAGCAGAACGGACAATTCAACTGGGTGGGTGACTACAAATTACAATGTTGTCCAGAATTCAGGTATCTCGGAAGCTTGATAACCACCAATAATTTGACAGAAGCCGATATAAAAGCCAGAATTGCTGCCAATGGGGTTTTCAGACGGCCCAAAGTTCAAGAACATCTCAAGAAAGGGAAAGAACTTAATCTATAAGACGATAGTAAGGTCAACTGTCACCTATGGAAGCGAATAATGGACCTAAAATAAGATGGTCAGTGGAAAATAAAAGAGTTTTGAAAGTCTGGGAAAGACAAGTTCTTTGTCGAATATTCGGTGCCATGAAAGCAGAAGATGTCGGATGAATTAGAACAAATAAGAAGTTGTTTGGAGAGGGATACATCATCTCTTATATCCAGCTGGGCTGATTAAGGTGGTTGGGATATATAGAGAGAATGAACTCTGGTAGAATCCCTAAAAAACTGCTCTACAGGAAGCCAGGTGGTGAAAGAAAGCTGGATGATGTCAAGGCAGACCTGAAGACTTTAAGTGTACACCGCTGGAGAAGATATACTATGGGCAGAGCCGAATAGAAAAAGCTGTTGATGGAGGCCATGGTCCTATATGGACTGTAGTGCCAGTTTGTGGGTAGTAGAGTTTGTCATTTATATCATCATCAGGTTGAAATGTTTCTTTGAGATGGCAAGCGAATAATTGCACTTTCTTTATTTTTTATTGCACTTTTTAGCAGTTTATCAACTGCCTCCTGCAGTGCTACATGCCACGCTCTGATGAAGACCTGCAAGGTGGGTCGAAACATCGGAGTAATAATTAATAATACTATTTTCTAAAAATTTGACTCCTGATTTATTTGATCCCACCCCCCCAACCAATTCCTTCTCAAATTGCACTTTTTGAGCATCTGACTTTGCCCAGTAACTATCAGGATATATGAGAGGATGAGAGATATCATGGTGCTGGAAAATCTGTATGGTTATACTCCAAAGTGGTTCCTCATAACCTCATAAGCTGCTAAACTGTTCAGTCGAGTTAGTTTGCTAAACTTGTATTTGTCAGATGAGTAATGAGTTCTTTGCCATATTATGAGCTTTTCGTTTTTGAACGATAAGACATCTTATCTGAGATATTATAAGCATATGCTTCTATTTCTAGAAGCATAACTTCTAACATCTTTACAAGACGTCTCATCATACAAAAACGAAAAGCTCGTAAAATATGGCAAAGAACCCTTCTGACTAACACAAATGTAACAAACTAATAAAAGGTGGTAAATAAAAAAAAATCTTTTCTACAAAGTTATAAAAGATAATATATAACAGTATATGCGTATTTACAGTCACTACATGTAAGCACGTGTCAATAAAAAGTTTATTTCTAAAACTTTTTTTTTTTTATAGGCCTTGAAGAACTAATCAAGGATCATTTTATTATTTTTTTTTTTATATTTTTCTTTCAGAGTAATAACCGTTATAATAAATATTAATAATTAACAAATTAGAAATACATAATTAGGGAAGTTCCATGATGGGAATACGGCTTTTTTTCCCCTTCAAAAATGCATGATAAGGGATTGGAGGGGCAATAGCTGACGTCATAAAAGAAGGCAGCATTCGGCCAAAGAGCAGGTTTTGGGATTCTATGAACAAGTGTGATCAAAGTGATTGTGAACCACGTGTAATCTCTGCGGAACTCATGTGAATTAGTACTCCACGTGAAATTCCCTTTCTATTGATATCTCATTCATCAAAATCCACCATACTTGGGAGCCAGAAAGAGGATTACAATCCATGATCACATGTTACAAAACCGGTCAAAACTTCTCTGGGAACATTTAAATGGGAAGTCCACTATTCAGTAGCCCTTTCTGATTATCAGTTATTTTGTTCGATGGCACATGGCCTTGCTGAGTAGGATTTTATGAGAATCATGAAGATAGCAAAAATGGGTAGATTTTTAGCCTTAAAAGACGAGTCATCTTTCTGATGTAGAATTCACATGCGGCCAGAAAGAGGTGAGAAAGTAAAGTGGCTGTTAGTGATGATAATAATAATAATAATAATAATAATGCTTTATTTATTCTGGGATGAGTCCTTTTAGAATAATACAGAAAGACAAAAATGTGGGCTAAGGAGCCTCAGAGATACATAAACAAAAATATAGACCAAGTAAATAGTCAAAATAATAAAATAAATTATAAGTTACTTTCTAATTTAAATCAGTTAATAATAAAAAATAAAAAATTGAAAATAAACATGAAGTAAAAATAATGAAGAACGATCTAATAATTTATATACATATGTACAGTAGCAACTATTTACAATTTTATGGGGACTGGATGGATAAGAAATGATTGAACAGGCGGGTTTAAAAGGTAGAAAGGGTTTTGGATTGACGGATGTGGGGAGGGATGGAGTTCCATAGGGATGAGAATCGGATAATGAACAATCTGTCGAAAGCAGCGGTTCGGTGGGTCCTCATGTATAAATCAGAAGACTGGGAAACGAGTATTGCGGGAACGAACAGAAGATTTGAATTGAAGGAGCTCGGAGATGTATGAAGGACGGTGGGATTGGATGACTTGAAAGAGGAAGGATGCCAGGAAATACTTACGACAGTAGGAAGGATAAAGCCACTTCAACTCAGCATAAAAACGGGAAACAGAGGTGTCCCTTGGGATCCGTATCGTACAAAGCAATTTATCAAACATTTTAATTTTGCCTCAAGATCTCCAGAGATGCCCACTACAGCAGTAGTCAAAGTGGGGAAAAATTAAGGAAGTTACTAGGAGCCTATGGGTTTCAAGGGGAAATAGGTGACGGGAGTCATTAGATGTTTTAAGGTGGAAATGATAAGGCGGGAGATGTTGGATATATGCTTTTTCCAGAAAAGCGTTTGATCAAAGATCATTCCAAGATTTTTGATGGAAGAATAGAATTTGATGGAATTATCATGTAGGAATAGAGTTGGAATATTAGGAACAGTTTTAAGGAGCTGATTGGAGCCTATTAAGATTGCCTTCATCTTTTCTACATTCAAATTGAACTTGTTAGCTTTCGCCCAGTCACAAATCCTATTTTCTTGAAGTTTTTCTGTGGCTGATAATAGGTCGGTGGGCGGGAAGGACAGATATATTTGGAAATCATCTGCATGGATATGGTATTGGGAGCAATGGATCAGGAGGGGAAGGTCATTAATATAAATAGCAAACAGGGTAGGAGATAGAGAGGAACCTTGAGAGACACCATAGGAGAGAGGGAGGGTTTTAGATGGAGGTTGACCTGGGACAACTACATACTGGGACTGATTTGAAAGGAAGGATTTGAACCAACACAGACTGTTGGACAGATGAAGATTGTTTAATTTAGTGAGGAGGATGTTATGGTCAACTGTGTCAAACACTTTGGAAAAATCTAGAAGGATGAGGTTAATAAGGCTTCGGTGTTCAATGGAGTTTCAGAGTTCATAGGTTATTTTAAGGAGAGCGGATTGCGTTAAGTAACCATGTCGAAAGCCGAATTGGAATGGGTTGATAACGCTCCTCTAGGAAGTTGGAGAGTTGATTTTGGACAAGGCGTTCTAACGGCTCTGAAAGATTAGAAAGGAGAGAAATAGGTCGGAAGTCTTGCAGTGAGGTAGGGTTGGGGATTTTATTCAAAGGTTGGACTAGGGCAGTTTTCCAGGAGGATGGGAATGTGGAGTTTTACAATGAAAAGTTGAAGATATGGTAATAAACAGGAATAAGGACAGGAACGCTGGATTTTATTAGTTTCACTGGAATATTATCAGGACCATAATCATTAGTGTGGGATTTTAGGATAGTGAAAAATAATTCATCGTAGGTCACATGGGAGAAAAATTGTGAGTGAAGGATAAGAAATGGTCATTGAGATCATCTGGAGTCACCGGGATGGAACTGAGTTTATACAAGTCAGATTGTGAATTGGATTCCATTGCGAAGTTCCATGAAAAACGCATAATCAGCAGGCAAACAGGCCATGTGATGAAAGAAATGGAACAGGGTGTTGGGAAGAGGAGGGGATTTTGATGTGAGAGTCAGAGATGTAGAGGTCTAACCAGGTGATGGGCAATATTGTGACATATTTTTTAACACTTTCTTTAAATAAAGCAATAACAAAAAAAAAAAAACAGCAAAAACTTATTCAAGGTCCTAATACAAATAAAATAGTATTCTAAACGAGATTTTTAAATGAAAGCAAACAATACCTGCTATATGTCTTGTGATATATTCAACAGTAACCGGGTCTTCAACAGTCAGTTTATGAGACTGACATTCTATTTGAGCTCTGTTAATTAGTATCCTAGCATCTGCAGTCAATCCTGCAAAATGAAACAAAAAAAAAATAATTTTTTTATAGACAAAAACATAGTTAATGGGACAAAATTTTGGTGGGTTGTGGTTCAAAATAAAAATGATTCATGCACCTTAATAAAATATCTGGTGTGCGCATCACAACTTTATTTTACTGCTATACTTTAAACAGAAATTATTTTATGGCAATGTTAGGCTATTACATTTTTTAAGGGCATTTTTAACGGAGCTAAAGCTTAAAACTTACAGCTAAAGGTGGAATTCCACTGAGGAAACACTGAATGACATGTTGCATGATACTTGATTCCTAGAGTTGTCTATTGTAGCCGTCCGACTATGTGGCACAAAATTCAATTGATGTCGCATGCGAAATTTGTTGCTCCTCATCGCATGCGCTTTGCCGTACACTTGTGTAGCAAGCAACTAAAGCAATTCCATTCAGGCAACTTCAGCTTGCTACATCATGTCATTAGAGTCATGGTAGCTGCATATTAGGAAATTGCTTTAAATCATAAAAGGAAAAGAAAAACATCGCAATATTGGAGAAGAGAGCTATAAATCGATGGTCCAGAAATTCGATATAATTTAATATTTTACGCTTAAAGAGTAGTGGAAAATTTATTTTAGTTCGAGAGTCTGTGAGAAAACATCAGCATTATTTGATTAAAACTTTAAAAGAATTTTTAAAAAATATTTATAACATTTATATATAAAAAATGAGTTTGCCAGTCGGATCTTGCTACCTGTAAAAATGGGAGCTGATGGAAAGAATATAAGACCAGTTACTTGAGGATCAAAAAAGGAAAATTAAAAAAAATAATAATAATTTTCACGAATTTGGTAAAAATTGGCGTTAGTTGACTGTGGTTAACAAACATACCACTTAACCAAATTATTAAGTTTAGGTACTCGTTCGACACACAATTTAATTTTATTTAATTTATGAAAGAAAATTTTTTCGCTTTGTTGCACAGCTTAGGAACTTAAGGTGAAAAAACAAAAAAAGATCGAAATAATCTGGCTTTTTTGGCTATAAAAGGTTTTTCCTTGGTGGCCCGCCTCAGTAATTTTGTTTTTAACATGTCTCAACAAATATATACAAGTTAAAAAAATAAAAACTTTTCTCACATTTTTCAACGACTTATCGTTTTGATCCTCAAGTTACAGTTACTGGTTCAATATTCATTAAATCAGCCGCCATTTTTACAGGAAGCAAGATCCGACTGGTAAACTCTAATTTGTTAAATAAAGATATTCTAAAAATTCAAAAAATGCTTTTCGAATTTTCAACAAATAATGTAGATTTTTTTCTCATGGGCTCTTGGACTATTTAGGTTGCTAGCAAGTGTATTTCGTGTCATCACCTCAACACTCAGCAGTTGACAATATTTATTTGGGTACATCGACGTCCAATAAAAAATTCAGTAGCTCATAAGCAAACCATTTCCAGTTTTTGCGAGATGAGCCATTTTTTCCTTGCTGAAGTTTTCTGCGCTCGCGATGAAATGCTGACAAATTCTTAATTAATTTTTACCACTATCACCATACAATTATATTTTAATATTTAAAGAAATTAACGATTAATAAATAAAACAAATATTTTTACCTGCATACAATTATATTTATCTGATAATTTTTTCAACTTATCATTTTTAATTCTTATATCTTTCTATTCGGCTTATCTTTTCTATGTTAAAGCAAAATAACATTCATAATGTATTACACCAATTTATTTAGATTTTTATGTATAAAATATACCGAACCTAATCCGAAAAGGAAAGTCGGTAAGCTAACTTCCCCATAACAGTGTAACCATATGAAACTGTCAATCCAATATAACACTGTATAGATTTACCTCAACAAATAGGAAAGAGTTTAGAACTAATAACGACTACTAACTCACAAAACTTACTGCGGATATCAAGCATACAAAATTCCTTACTTGTAAAAACCCAACACAAATAAAATCTGTATGTAAAATGTTGAAATAATCGAATGGCTGATTTTAGTTATCATAAAATAGAATTATGCAAGAAAGGATGTACATAATAAATAGAGATGAACTTTCAATGCACTTTCTAATTTATGAAGAACAATCCAAACAAGTTAAATAACTGAATACATATATCTTGCTCAGTTTCAAAACAATAAAATAGTTGCTACAAGTACATTCAGCTCCACTTACCATCTTTTAAAAACCTTCAAAAGAATTCTAATACAAATATGAAGTTAAACAAAAGTAGCCTAATAAAGCTATATTTCAAAAGTTGTTAGCAAGAGTGAAGGAAGAAGACATTGTGATAGACATGATATCCCACCTGCAAAAGCCATAACTATGTGATCATCCAGTAAGCAAATTTTTCTAACAGTCCTTTCTTCCTGAAGTTTGGCCACAGATTTTTTTTCAACGCCTAAAACCACAACATCATTCCCTCTTACGCCAACCTGTAATTAAGAAAAATATTAAATTAAAATGAAAAAAAAACTAAGTATACAACAGAAAACCGGAGCTCACCGCTGTGGATCCTTTACGAACAGCTTCCTGTGCATATTCCACTTGCAACAAATGTCCATCAGGTGAAAAAACAGTAATAGCTCTATCATATCTAGCAGTACCCATCTTGAATTAATATCGACACTAAGCACTAGATTAGACAGCAATACTACTGTTTGTATCTGCAAGTCAGGCTTTTGAACAGTTACACCAACATTACGCTAAAAAATATTTCATCTATTTTATTCGAAGTTTAAACTTAATTTGCTTTCAAAAACTATGTTATAGAAATAGAAGTATTATAACACTTTAGTTAACAGATAAAATTGAGTCATAAAATTATATATTTAAAAAACAAAAGTTAAATTCCATGTAGATTAGCGCACCCCACGGGTCAAGACATTTCAGTACACCTGAACACTCGCCAATATAATACACTTAATATAAGGTCACTTATAATACACACATTTGGGCAATATTCTCTAGAACATTCCCATAAGAAGTTTAGTTGTCTTTCAGGGAAACTCATTGACCATTCTGAAACAGGAATACCGACCAGAAACTTATAATATCAATTACGGAATTCATTCAATGTCTTTTTTTTTTCTGCATTTATTATTTGATCTACACCTTTCACAGCCTTAAACAATAAGCGGATGTGATCTTTATTGATAGAATTGGCATGTCAGGCATGAGGGAGGTCGGTACCCATCGGCACCTACTCCTAACTTGAAATAAAAGAACAAGTTAATCCAGGAGATCCCTTAGCCAGCTCCTTTTCAGCCTTCGTCGGGTGTTTTCTGTCATATGTCTCGTGGCAATGTTTTTGTATGTTGGTATGTTCCTAAAGTTTGGCATGGAACTTTTTATATGATGTCGGGATCTGACCTTGTACCATCGGTATGTTTAGGTCAGTAGGTAATCTTTTGTTACTGACGTATCAGGGTGAGCGTGTGAAGAGTCTTAAACATTTTAATTGGATGTATGTCTAACGATCCATGAAATAGTTTGATATTTCACTTCTTATTTCACATAAATGCAATAAAATAGATTTTTTAACAATGGCATTGCCTTGATTAGGTAGATTTGAAATACTTTTTCAAACCTAAAAATGTTTTAAAAGTTTACATTTAGTTAATAAATTGAATTTAATTTCCTTGAAAATACGTGATTAACGTTAAATAATATTAGTTTTCAAAAATTATTATTTATAATTTTTTTGCCACTCTGTTATCTTCTACAGCTTTCTATATTAGATATTGTTTTTTTACTAAAATTCTCCGGTTCCCAACGATATATTATACGTATACCTTCTGACTTGTATTTCCGGAGATTCATTTTCGACCTGGATAAGCATTTTTATTTTTTTCTCCTTTATTCAATTATCAAATTCTTTCAAAAGATATATTTAGCATTTTTTCGTTACTTTTAATAATGCGAGATGGTTAATTATTTAAAATAAACCATATTAAAGGTACTTTAGTAGAAAACGTAAATGAACATTGGGCATTTAAGCCCTGTAAAGTGACATAAATGGGGATAAGACCTTATTTATATTAAATATCACTTAATTATACAATATAACACCGAGTTTAATCAAAATCGTTAGAGCTAGTTTTGAGAAAATTGTAAAAATGTGTTTCAGCGTTGATATAAAATGGCACTTCCGGTTAGCCTATTTTAAGGAAAAAGTTGCTGTCACATCTAAGCATATACCTATCTTAAATACTTAATATCAGTTTCGTTCTATTTTTCGTTTTTGAGATAAACTGTTAACATGCACACACAGACATACAGACCATTTGGGGAGACTTGGTTATTTGGACTCAGGGTACCTCTCTATTTCAGTTGAAAACTCAGATTCGAACATTTTCAATACTTTCCCTTACTATATATTACATATATAGGTAAGTGAGATTAAAATCGTAAAAATGTAAGAAAAAAAAGTGAGAGGAGAAAAAATTAAATCTCCAAAAGAAGCTTCTCTGACAACTATCTAACACAATAAAGGGCTGCACAGGTGCCAAAAATCTTAGTTAACGCAAATATTGCAGGAAATAAAAAAAAAAAAAAACTGTAGAGATCCCCAAAAGGCACTTGGGGACACACCAAATTCAATTCATATTGAATTTTCATTTCGTATTGAGGTTTCCAGCCTTTAACTGTATAAGAAATAGCTGTATTATAATCCTTTCCTTTTGACTAACAATAAAGTTTAGCTTCAAAGTTTTCTTCCCCATTGTTAATGAACTCACTTAAGTATTATTTATCAATATATTTTTTAAAAACAACTAAATTTTCCAATATTGTCTATAAAGAAAGCTTTATTAATAATTTAGGGCCTCCTGCCATTACCGAACAAAGAAATATTTTCCAAAATTAAGTATTTTAAGATCGACGATTGGGAAATGGGATGAGTTTTTTCTTAGAGGTAAAATTTGATTGAGGAAATCAGCAGCTTTTCAAACAAGGAGAACCCACAAATGCAGAAGGGGTGCTTTTACTAGAGGTTACAATTCTGGATAAGGAAATATCTCCATTTACAAAGGAAGACTCCAGGAATGCCTACCTTGAGATCTATTAAAAGATGGTGAAGAAAACATAAGAGCCAAGCTATTACTACTAATCAAGAAAATATAGAAGGAAGGAAGGATACAAGAAGCTCTTAAATTACAGAGGCATAGCATTCCTTCAGGCTCCCTTATTCCCATTATGAAAATATATCAGCTGATCACCAAGCAGGATTTAGACCGTAGGAGTGCGTAACAGTTGTTTAAAAAAGATAATAAAAACTCAGGATATGGACGTCTTATTAATTGCTTTTAAAGCAGCTTATGATTCTGTGAAGAGAAACTGTCTTTGAAAAATAATGAATGAGCTAGTAGTTAACGAGAAACATTGAGGAAGATGTATACATATTATACTAAATGCCAGGTTTGATATTTTCTCATTTGTCGTTTATAAAGCAGATCATGATTTCGTGGACACCAACTCTCTTTGGAAAATCATGACTGAACTGTGAGTTCCCAACAAGTTGACGAGATTGACCAAGGCTTGTAAAAATTACCTTAAATGTCGATTCCTAGTACAAGCTGAAGATATGAAGTTCGGACTGGCTTACGAAAGAAATAGGGACTGGAGGAGTGCACGTTGGAATGAATTATAAAATTCTTAGGATATACCTACAGATGATATAGCTACTCTAAGAGGCAATCAAGAGGACATCAAGAAACTCGCTAAGACTAGTAAGAGAAGCATAGTTAATCGGTCCACAAGTAAATGACGATAGAAAATAATACATGACAATAAGCTGAAATAGTTGTCCGAAATGAACGATTTTTATTAAGTTTTGTACATAATTTCATTGTTTAAAGAAAACAACAGCCTAAACGGTGTTTTTCGGACTCAGAGATCTCTAAAACGTATAGATCCTTCGAAAACCGCATATCGGGAATTTGATCCGATCGCAATACTTTCCTTACCTAGTATAGGTATGAAAATAAAAAAAAAATATTATCGTGACCAGCACTAGCAAATTCGGCCAGGGGGCACGCTCTTCCTTGGATGGTGGAAAAAAATCTGAAAAAGTGACAAAAACACATATTTAAAGAAAAAAGAAAATTCATCCTCATACACGAATTTCCAAAAGCAATAGATGAAAAAAAAATGATCGTGACCAGCACTAGGCGAATTCTGTCAGGTAGCGCGCCCTCCCTTGGATGGTGGAAAATAATTCCGAAAAAAGTAACAAAAACCACCTATTTACAGAAAATAGAAATGTAAGGAAAATTCATCCTCATACACGAATTTCCTAATCTAATGTAAAATTAAATTATTATCGTGACCAGCACTAGCGAATTCTGCCAGGAGGCGCACTCTCCCTTCGATAATGGAACGTAATTCCGAAAAAATATCTATTTAAAGAAAAGAGAAATGTAGGGAAAATTCATTCTCATGCACGGATTTCCTAATGTAATATTAAATAAAAATTATTATAGTGATTTGCACTAGCGAATTCTGCCAGAGGGCGCGCCCATCCTTAGATGCTGAAAAAAAATCCAAAAAACAGCTATTTAAAGAAAAGAGGGTGTAGTTTTTGGGCCGCCGTGGAGTGCGAAGGCTTGTGCTGTGCTATTGATTCTCTATTGACTTTTGAACTAAATCTCACAGGTGAAATAAATGCTGGAGAAAAATTTATTAAAAAACAAAATGAACTTTATTTATTCTTTCGAACAACCTTTTATGCGAGAACAAGAAAATACCTGTTTTCTCCCGGACCCAGTTTATATTCAGTTCCAATAGATCTGGACTCATAGCAACCTCCAACTTCTTTAATGGTCTTTATAATGGGAAGTTATAAATCAAAAAAATATCTTTCATTCATCCGTTGACCGTGGTTATCAGCCATATCACTTAAATCAAATTATTACGTTTAAGTACTTTTTCGACGCACAATTAAACGTTTTTAATTTCTTGAAGAATATACGTTTTCCGTTTCCATGCCCTGTTTAATAGTATTAGATGAAAAAAAAAAAAAAAAAATCAGATAAGTCTGGCTTTTTTGTATGTAAAAATATTTCCCTTGGTGACTCCTATAAGTAAAGGAAAATATTTAAAGGAGTGATAGGAGAACTGAAGAGCTACAAAAAAGTTTATATAAACAATGGTTTGGTTTTCAGATGGAAATTAAAGTTTTATGGTTTTCTAAGTGTTATATTTTTTTTTTATTTAATAGGAAGAAAGAATTAATTTACAATTAAAGTAATTAATGATTGCTTCACTGTAAAATAGAAAAATTTTACTTTAAATAAAATACAGTTTTTTTTGTTTGGGTTTTGAGGCGTAAAACCAAAGGTCATCAACCCCTGTTAGTTCTTTATTTTTATTCTCTAGAGCTCAGAAATGACAAAAAAAAAAAAAAAAAAAAAAAAAATATATATATATATATATATACATATATTTTGTTAAATAATCAATGAGTTTTAAGGAAGTTTATAACTGGTTTTATATTTAATTCATCATTATTTAATATAGCTGAAATATCCCATCTAAGAGATAATCTATTTAAGCTTGTGGTATAATAGGAGCATTCCTGGAAAATATGGCTAACAGTGAGAGGGCCATTGCAGTATTGGCATGTTGTAGGTGGCTGTTTATTGATAAAATATAAATGAGTCAAATTTGTATGACCTATTCTCAACCTGGTCAAGGTGACTTCCTCTCAGCGATTATAATGGTTTGATGCAGTCTACTGATTTTTTTATAAGTTTCAACTTGCTTGGTGGACTCTCATTCCACACTTACTCCCAACTGTCTGATATTTCGTTTTTGAGAGGAAGACTCATTCCTAGAGGTGACAGGATAGCAGAACCCTGGCCTGGAAGTCAGAAGGCCTGTTTGGCTGCCACATCCAGCAAGTTCATTTCCGACTATTTCCATGTGACTAGGAATTCATATTTTTCCAGAATATTTTCCAGAATATGGAGGTATTTGTGAATTTTTAGGATAACGGAATGTTTGAAGTATATGTCATTTAAACCATTTAATGAACTGAGTCTGGTATTAAAACTATTGTGTTTGGAGTGATTGACATAAAGAAGTGAAGTGAGGAGGTTATTGCATGAAGTTCCGCAGTATATATGTTACATAATTTATGAAGTTTTATCTTATGAGTAACAAAAGAAGAAGCTGTGGCATCATCGGATTTCGAAACGTCAGTATAAATTAAGAATGGTTGTGGGATACTTTGTAGGAAATGAGAGAATTTGGATTTATATTCAGAGGACGTATTGCTTTTGTTTAATCTGGATAGATGGAGCATTATTTTGGAGATTTGTGGATTTTGAATTTCTGTTTTGTATATAGATATGTTCATAAGTAATTGAGCTGCGGAATAGATTCTTTCTGACAATGGAAGTGTAGAATTTGGATTGATTTCTAATAATAAGATTTCAAAAGGCGTTAAATTTTGATTTGAAGATGTATTTATGGGTAGGATTTTTATTTTTAGGAAGTAAATTTGAAGTATAGTTAATAGCCATTTTTTTCCTTCTAAAAAAAAGAGAGGTTATGCCAGCCACAGAACAGAGACTGAGAATGGGGCTTGTTTGAAATGTGCGTCGCGAATCTAATGCCTGTATGATGGACTGCATCAAGTTTAATCAGAGTCAGATAGTGGGCAGAACCATACACAAAGCACCCATAATCTAATTTGGAGCATATTAAAGCCTGATATAGTTTGAGCAGCGTAAATCTGTCTGAGCTCCAGGTAATACTGCTTAGATATCTCAACGAAGCTAAAATTTTTGTTGTGGCTGTTAATGTAGAGTTGTGTGATTCCCATGTCAGTTTTCGGTCAAAAGTCATACCCAAAAATCTATTTGAGTATGGGATTGAGGAATTACCTAGGTAGATTTCGGGGTATTTCTTTTCCTACTGAAATGTAAGCATTTAGTTTAATAAAATAGAGTTTGCTTTTGTTAAAACCATTTAAAGTTGACTTTTGAGCAGCTAAACTCAGCCAAGGAGTGGGAGGAGATGGGTAGTGGTGGGGGAAATGGTAGGAGTGGAAGAAGCACCTGGTACAGAGGTACACTCTCCCTGAGAAAATTCCTGGATCCCCCACTGGCGCTCACAACCCAAACATTTACCTCCCACTTCATCATGTAGCGCTGAACAATTCTAAGGGCAATAGCAGAATTACTGTTTGTAATTGACATCCTTTCCTACTGCATAGATACACACCTTTCTTACTTATCACTTATGTCAAAGGACTGATAGGGATCATACAGTTATTAAACATAAAATAAACAGGAACATGTTTATTTCCATAGAGATTATTGAAGTAATTATCACCAATTCTTAGAAAACTACAGTGATATTTACTAATAGGCCCAAAAGTGACAGTGGTGTAGGAATCACAGCATTAATTGTAAGGAATTAAGCTTGTAATATGAATGTAAACAAATGAAACTTTGACCAAGTTATATTAGATAAACAATTTTGTTTGTATCTACAAATAACTTTCAATAAATAAAAAAAAACAAAAAACAATAAAATTCAACAATATGAACAAAAATTACATCCTATTTTAAGGAAACATATAAATATATACATATTTACTTATTACATCACTATAAACAAATAAAAAATAAACTACAATAATTCACAAAGGAAACAAGTTGAAATTCTTCTGTTTAAATTAACAATATTCATTTACAAAACATACACTGACTGAATTTTAATAATAAAATTAATCAAAATATTAACATAGAGGTTCATATGAGAGCAGTTCTCAACTTAAACCCAAATCTGTACATAATTTGAAAGAAATATAATAAGAAGGGTTAATCAATTTATTTACAAATGTACATATAAAGAAAAATGTCTTCTAATCATCAGGTGACCTTTTATAAATGGGACCGAATTTTGACATATACTTTCTGATAAAGTCTCTGGCTTTATGTTTCACATTTTCATTGCATTCCAACTCTTCAACAGAAGCACAATGTTTCAATTCCTTCACCATTACAAAATGAGTTAACTGTAAAAAAAAGTTGTTCTTAATACTGGGTGATATAACTGCATTAACACTTAAAACTATAAGTATATGAAAACCTATACTGCTACAACCCATAGAACATTTTGGGTACAGTACTTTGTAAGAAAGTACTGTTTCAAGGCCAAGCAGGGTGATTGTGCCAAGATCACATTCAACTGCCAGGTTTTCTCCCTTAATTGATTATTTAATTAAGAGTACCTACTTTATAGAACCTGAGTGTCCTAGAAAGGTCGATCCACCAGTGGTTTAATAAAATAAGTACCTGACAGCAAGACACGAACCTGTGTTCCGGAGCATAGTGCCTTACTAATGAGTACACTCACAAGAGGAATTTACAGTTGATGAGTCACCGATTTTAACCAAATATTTTCCGTGATACTACATAGAAAAAAATTAGACATATGACACAGCATTCATTCAGCTCTAGGAGGAGAAGAAAAAAAAAAAAATTCAGAAATTTCTTCAAATTTAACGGCATTGCAACTGTTGGAAAGCATCAGTAATTATTACATTTCATCCTTTTATAAGTTAGAAATTAAGAAAAACTTCTCTAATATTTTTATTTTATTTTATTTGTTTGTGGAGGTTGAGTTTGTACCATTTCATAGAGCATATAGAGCCCAGCCCTAAATACCTCATAATTTCCCTGAGAATGGGTAGAGATGTTGGGAAGTTATCACATATCTTCCTTAGATATGGGGTATAGCCTTAAAATCGAGGAAGGGGAGGACAAAAAAAAAAAAAATTAAATAAAAAAAAAATAACAAATATTGACTTGGCTACAATTACTATGTTTTCCAACCATTTGTTAAAACTCTTTTTTTTTTTAAATACATATGTGTTGATATGGAAACTTTTTTTAAGACAAATATTAAAATTCAGAAACAGGACAAATAAAATTTGTATGAATTCTTATTTAAAATATTACATGAGTATTATAAGGAAGGTGGTTTTACGAATGGCAAACAGAAAATAATTTCAGAAAAAAATAATCTGACTTTATTTAGAAACGGTTTTTATATTTTAAGCAACTCATAGTTTTTTCTTCTTTTAATTTGATCGATAATGCAGATAATAGAGCCAAAAAGTGAGACTTATTATATTTTAATAACCTTTTCTAGGTTTACACATAGGCACACAACAGACAGAATATGTCCCACTTATTAGCCTGTTTTTGACTCGTTCCAACACCCACATCATAATGAAAATGGAAGTTTTGCCACAACTAAAAATGATTTTTGGTCATTCTTTTATTGGATTCACTAACTACTCACTCTAAATTTGAATATATAAAGTCAAATAAAATGTTATAATTTTGCTTTAAAGATACAAATAAATACTTTTAAATAAGTTTTGAAATATGAACAAGTGATGAGGCTTTTTTTTATTGTTAAATAATTTATTAAAAAAGTTGTCTGTATAATAATGGATTTATGAAGTTTAAAGAAAAATTTAATCGTATAATGGTATAATCGTAGTAACATTACCTTCCTCGCTAGATGTTTAAAATCTTCTGTATTTGTTATTCTAGCTATTTTGCAATCTGATTTCCTGTATGGATTAAGAAGTGAAACAACAACATTAGCCATTTGTACTCTGAAGAGATCCTTTTTACGGCGCCGGGGACCTACTGAAGTATCAGCCTCACATTTTGCAGCACCTCCACTACGTAATTTCTTCTTTTCTTTAGCCAACCTTTCTTTAGTTTCACGAATTTGTTTCTTTTTGATACCACATCGATAATCATCTTCTTCATCCCTTGGCTGAAAATTGAAATAATTGTTGATGTAATAATTGTTTAATTAAAGAAATAGTTGGTTGGGAGATAAAATAGTACTTAAGGCCCCTGTAAACAAAATGTGATAAAGCATTACAGTTGTATTAGTACCTATTTCTTCATAGCAGTCACATAGAGAGCAATACACTGCAGTGATACATTCTATAGCGACGAGACCACCTACAATTTTCTACAAATTACAAATATATCGAACTTCGGCGATATGCAGTAACTAATCTAGGTAGAAAAGTGAGCAAATTAATAAAATGATTCTAGGATTATAAAGACATGGCCACACAGAAGGCGATATTCAGCGCAGTGATAGAATTGTATAGTTGTATTACTATTTATTCCATTATAACAGTTACATAGAGGACAATAAACCAATACATTGTAAGTGATACCGTGATCAGTGATGTGTTTGTAAGATGTTACAAGTAAAACACCATTTGCTTGTTGAAAATAGAGACCAATAGATGACATGGAATTACCAATAGACAAAAGCCAGGTGTTATTCATTCTTTTATGAAACTTCACACGAATATTAATAAAAATATTTTAAAAAAGAAAGATGCCTGGGAAGAAAATTCAGAAGAATTAATTATTTCACGATTACTGTACTTTACTATTACTATTGTGACATTTCGGACTTCTTGCATATTTTCAAAAATTTATTAAATACATACAATACAAATCTTTTTGAAAGTATATTTTTGCATAACTGTTTTTTAAATATTGTTATCTATATAAATTTTACATAGTTATTTATTAATTGAATCTCAATATTTTACAAAAGGAATATTATCAAAAAAAAATTCCATGGTTGTTTTTAGAAAAATTCATCTATGGATTTTTCAAAATCGATTTACAAACATTCATATTAAAACAGTTTTTATTTACAATTATTATTTATCTACATATTCTAATAATTCCACTATTCCATATTATTTCAACTATAAATATATTAATGTTTATATTACAACAATATCCTAATAATTATTTATGTGTATGAAAAATTACGCTTAACTCATTCAGTCTCATTAAAATAAAATTATAATCATTTTTTTTTTTTAATTTGCTTTTATCCTTACCAAAGTAGAACTAAAAAAAATTTCTTTTCATATTCCTTATTTACATATTAATAACTATCTCAAGAAACAATTAATATCTATCTTCAACATATATGGAATAGTAAAAAAATATTGCATAATGCAAAATGCAGATATATGGTGTGTATTAGATGAATATTTGAAAAACGGAAATAAACCCTTACTTCACAAAAGGAAAAATAAAAATCTGGTGCATTGCGCGCATCACACAACTTTCACTTATCACCCCCTTCTCAGCAGAAATAAGCATTTTCAGACAAAGGGGTTAGTGAAAGTCAAGATTATAGATGCTATATTTATTTATATTTCATTTTGGATATTTTTATTTCTAGAAGTTCTCTTATATATACAAATTTTAATATTTACATTGCTGTAATCTATACAATTAAATATAAAATAATACTAACAATCGCATTTATGAAAGCCGCTAATGTATATTTAAATAATATTGTCAGAGTTCATATTATATTAAGCTCATGTTACGTATACGTATACGTGTTCTAATCTTTCGGGTGAGCTCGTATTCCTTTAGTTTCCCAATTACAACTATTCTCCGTTACGATTTCTTATTTCTCCTTAAGTTAATTATCAAATTCTTTCATATTTTATATTTAACTATCTTATATATTTCACATTAATATGAAATGGTCAATGGTTTCAAATAAAAAAAATTATAGGTACTTTAGAGGAAGCTAATAATGAAAATTAACCATTTAAGCCCTGTTCGAGAATATCAATCAGAATAAAAACTACATTTTATGTAAAACTGCTTAATTTTACACTGATATAATGAATTTAATCAAAATCGTTGGAGCCGTTTTTGAGAAAATCGTAAAAATATGGTTAGTCCATGATATAAAGTCCCACTTCCGGTTAGCCGATTTTGACGAAAAAGTTGCTGTAACATCCCTAATAAGTAAAAACCATAAATATACAATTTCACTTTTGTACGACTTTTCGTTTTAGAGCTAGAATGTTAAAACACACACACACACCATTTTGTGGGACTTGGTTATTTGGACTCAAGGGAACTCAAAACTTGTATTTCCGAAGAAAACTGAGGTTCGAAAATGTTCACGATTGCAATACTTTGCTTTACTATATATTTCATATATAAGTAAGTGAAAGTAAAAAGATATATATCTTTTTATTTTTCCCTTTGTGAAGTTTCGAATTTATTGCTGATTTTCAAATATTTAAATATATATATAAAAAATAGCATAAGGATCACATTCTTATTCAGTTTATTTTTTTAACATTTCGATAGATTTAAATAAAAAATTTAATAAATATTTCATAGAATTTGCACATGAATATTTTATAGAATTTTCAAAAAAACATTAATGTTATAAAATAATGAAACAACAAAAGCAAATGAAGTTGAATAATAATAAAACTGACTTTTGTTCATGATACACTTCATGACACGGTTCCCTCCCATTGAAAGGGGAGACAGACCAAATACCTAAAAATTGTATAATTTGAAAAGGATTTTTTTTAAATACACATAGAATGGAACTTACCCCTCGATTAAACCCTCCTTTCCCTCGATGCCTAAAAATGTTCAAATCAACATGTTGTATGTAAAACATGAATAATCATGATTTTGTGATTTTATTTAAGAAATATCATGAAAACTGTTACAATGAAAATAATTATTAAAAACTACTCGTAGGAGTAGATGTTTCTATTATATTTGCTAAAATCAAATTCTAAAAGTGTGATTTCTTGTGTTGATAAAATATATGTACCTTTCTCATAAACTATTGATCATAATGAGAACTATGAGGGATCAAACTGAAGCTGACTGAGTATATTAAAAAGTAAGTAGTAGATAATAATAATAATTTGAACTATCACTCTACATTTTTGTTTTATGTCACTGAATCAACATCAAAATCACTTTAATATTCAAGTTTTTTTTTTTGTTTTCTTATGCGAAAGTCGTTGGTCATTCGACCATCCGACATCTTGCTGCCTAGTATAAGTTTGATTTTTTCAAATATTCACTTTTAAATGTTTTATTTCTTATGTCCATCAAAGCAGGACATGTGTCTAGGTGGTCTGCATCCATTCTTCCTTGATGACATAGTTTACACCTATGATCGTCAACCATACCTATCTTGTGGAGATGACTTTGTAAATAGTCATGACCAGTGGCCAGGCGGAAAAGCAGGCTACTGCATCTCTTCTTGATAGGTCAGCAATCTGGGATCAGATTTTCTATTAAACATTTATAACACTTTCCTTCCACCTTGTTTATGTGCCTTTTTCGTGCTTCTTCCTTCTCTACTACCTTTACCTTGTTATCTGGTTATTTTCTTAGCCCTGATGAAGGCCTGAACTTCAGGTCGAAACGTCGGCATATGTAAAAAATAAATATTATAATTTATTTTTTGCCTTCCTTTTTGACTGAGCACCCCAACTATTCTTCTCTTCATTATCCACGACAGTCAACCAATTACCAATTATATACTACCTTTACCATTTGCTGAGTTGAGTTATACGATTTTGGATGGGCCGTTTGAGTCAAATCTGCTCCTCGCTTGGCGAGACTATCAGCTTCTTCATTTCCTGGAATTCTACAATGGCTCGGAATCCACTGTAGGACCATATGTGTGCCTCGGAGCATCAGGTTGTATAGGAAGGATTTGCACTCCAGGACAGCACTCGATAGGAACTCGTTCGTGTTAGAAACAGCAAGGATGGCTACTTGAGAGTCGATGAAGAGCACAGCGCTCTGGTCTTGCCTTCCTCACAATGTTCTTAAGGCTATGAGGATTGCTGCTATCTCATCATCGAAATTTATATCATCCTTACCCACCACAGCGCTGAACCGGAATTTCTTTGAATAAACCCCTGCTGCAGCATCTCCCACAGCTGATTTAGCTGACCCATCGGTGAAAATGTGAAGCCAATCCTGAGGAGGGTACTTTTGAACTATAATATTGCTATTGCTTTTAGCTCATAGTCAGGTGTTACCTTCTTTTCCACCTTATGGAGGAGTTGAAATTCTGCCTTGCCTGCGTGATGGTGGATCGGGAACTGTGCGGGTATAAATGGTTCCCTCTCTAGGCAGTCAAGCCCTATTTTTTTAAGTAAAGCCTTAGCCTTCAGCATGAAGGACCCTTGTTTCTTGAGCCGTTCAGTTGGGATCCTGTAGTTTCCAAAATTGTGGGTCCATTCTTTTCATTCGCTCTCACATTGCAGTTTGCTCACGCCGTTTAGAAAGGGGTTCTGTTGTGGTATGCAGTTCCATAGCTTGGGTTGAGCGTAGTGCACCCAAAATTAAACGTAGGACTTTGTTCTGCTGGCTATCCAGTCTTCTCAGGGATGCATCAGCCGCAGAACAGATCACCTCAGAGACGTATAGGACTGGAAGTATATAAGTTTTATATGTAAAATACATCATTTCCTGAGTGGTCCCTCATGTCTTTCTTCTAAAATGTTTAAGCAGCTAAATTCTGTTTTCCTCTATCTCTTCAAAATTTGCCTGTTCCAATTCATCCAATTTGACTCCCAGGTATTTGCCTGCATAGGTTCTTCATAAGGGAACATTATTATAAATGACTTCCAGCTCGTGCTCTTTGATCGATAGCATAAACAGTTGATACTCAGTTTTCTGGGTATTTACTTCCATTTCATTAAACAAGGCCTAGGCAAACGTCTTGCCATTGCCTCATTAATTGTTGTTTCAAGTGCTGTTATGTTGCTATTGATTGCATATATTAGTAAGTATATCATCAGCGAACAGTAGAGCAGATATTCCAGGTATCCCCTCAAGCTCAGCTACTAGGTCATTTATCATTATATTAAAGAGTGTAGTGCTTAAAATAGATCCCTAAGGTACTCCTTGGCTAAATATTCTGAAGCTTGA